AAGCATATGAAAATCAATAAAATAATAAACTTTGAGCCCCCATAACTTTTCATGGGGGTGAGACCGCCGCAAAGTATTTATGGTACAGTGGTGGGGGAGACCTCCTCGTTCAATCCTCCCTGCCCCTTCGGGGGTGTGGGGGTTAATCTAGACATTTACCATAAATGTTTCTATTTTTTATCGATTTATAATTTTGTGATTTTTTTCTTGTAAGAATGCCAGTTCAATACATTATTGGTGAGTGGGAGTTTCGGGATCTCAATATAGAAATTACACCCCCAGTTCTGATTCCTCGACCAGAAACGGAACAATTAGTTGATATTGTTTCAAGCGAAATGTTAAAAAAAAAATATAGTAAAATATTAGAAATTGGTTGTGGTAGTGGCGTAATTTCCTTATCTTTACTTAAGGCTTTTCCATGGGTAAGGCCTTCAGTAAAATCTTATAGGCATTTCATTTATTTATATCATTTTTGTGTAGTTAAACATTGTAGCGATTGATAAAAGCAAAGAAGCATGCGAATTAACACAACGGAATGCAATGAAAAACAAAATCCTAACAAATTTAAAAGTTATTCAGTGCCGCATTGCTACTGACAATTACCGTTACTTGTTCAAAGAAAAATTTGATGTTATTGTAAGTAATCCACCCTATGTACCTTCAAAACGCTTAACAGAGTTACAACCGGAAATAGTACTGTAAGTTTAAAATTGTTTATATATATACTTATACACATTTGGGGAGATTGTTAATATTTGCGATACAATCAAGGTGCTACAACACTACATTCAACTAGAAAAGCTCATTTATTATGGGAATTGGAAAAAAATTTAGTATACAAAATTTTAGGAATTTTTGAGTGAAATTATTTCTTGACACAGAAATACACTTTTTTGAATGGTACCTATACACCTTGTCTATTGTTTAACTTTTGAATTAGGTGCCTTTTTTTAATAATCACCTTATACAAAGGGCCCATATCAAGTGATTCAAGATTTAGTTGTCATTTCAACTAATAATAGGGCTTTATTTGACGTCAACTCTAATCAGTTTACTATGTAAACACCTTGTAAACGTATTCTTTGTTAATTTTTTTTTATTAATAGTGTACAAGGCGAGTCTAAGTTCCGGATTACAATTTTGTCGATAAATTTAAACAGAACACCTTGTATATTAAGGTCAATATAGTTATCTCTATTAACGCTCTTTCAGTTATGCAGCCAATGCAATCCAATAAAAAATGAGTTACATATACAAATGTAGCATCGTGCTACAGATGGCGTTTACTGCGCCATTTGTAGCATTTTCTAAAACGCACTGTTAAGACAGCAGGTAAAAGTTGGCCTGTGTTCTGTCGGAGCTTCCTGCGACGCGCTGATGAGATCCAAAAAGATCGAAATCGCGATCCGCGTCTGGCAGTTTCGACAGAATACAGACCATTTCGAATTATGTTATTCGATTAAGCTAACGTGCCTATCACGTTGAGGTTGGCTACGCCGGGATTCGTTTTCGGCAAGTAGATATCCACACAAGTGGACCTTGTTG